TACATGATATGAATTGCTGCATTGAAGCCTTTTTTAGGACCTTCCCACGGGATTTCAGTGCACTCGTTAACTGCGTGGGGTAGCACAAATAGAGCAGTGGATTATAATTAGCACTGAATATATGGAGGTTATTGTCCTAGTGTGGTAGCACATCACAGACCCTGATGCATTTGTGTGCAGTAATCCAGGATGACAAATCACTTTCAAGACAAGGATGAATCACTCAGATACTCTTAAAGGCATACATTTTAGGGTCATTTTTATAGTGGCTTTTGAAGACATTTAATAGTGGGATAGTGAAATCAATACCCTTCACCTGCTTGTTTTTCTCTTTACTGAATAGTTGGATTTGTTTATGGTTATATGATTAATATTCATCAAAGATCTGTTCTGTTTGACTCTAAACAGCAAGAGAAGCATACTGTTGACAAGAATTAACCTTCAGTCCTGTCCTGCTCGCTATCAGTGAACATAGTCTTGACTAATTTGGCAGTTCCAGTCTCCTTAGGCATGGCCTTGATGAAAGGAAACCAAATAAGGGTGCAATCCTATGTATGTTTAGATAGAAAAAAGGTATACAGCTTCCAGCTTGTCCCCAGGAGTCATGGGCCTTTTATTTCTCTAAACATGCATAGGATTGCATGTCAGGCTGCTCAAATGATCTTCAACAGTTCTTATTAGGGATTTGTTGACTATTTCATCTCAACCCAAATGTCATTTTCCTGAAGCTAATGTTTCTTTCTGGAGGTTAATTGCAGAGTCCCCTGATTATTCTGAAGGAATTTTATGTATTTATTTAGCATATACTCCTTTATGGATCACTGCCTTGTCGTGGCAAAGGGGCTTGTGTAGCTCAGTGAAGCTATGAGCTATGCCGTGCAGGGCCACCCAAGATGGACAGGTCATAGCAGAGAGCTCTGACAAAATGTGATCCACTGGAGAAGGAAATGGCAACCCACTCCAGGATCTTTGCCATGAAAACCCCATGGACAGTACCAAAAGGCAAAGAGATAACATGCCAGAAGATGAGCCCCTCAGGTCAGAAGGTGTCCAGTATGCTACTGGGGAAGAGCGGAGGGCTAGTACTAGTAGCGCCAGAAAGAATTAGGCAACTGGGTCAAAGCTGAAAGGACACTCAGTTGCAGATGTATCTGGTGGTGAAAGGAGAGTCCAGTGCTGTAAAGATCTATACTCCATAGGACCCTGGAATGTAAGATCCATGAATCAAGGCAAGCTGGATGTGGACAAACAAGAGATGACAAGACTGAACATCGACATCTTAGGAATCAGTGGACTAAAATGGACAGGAATGGGTGAATTTAATTCAGATGACCATCAGGTATTCTACTGCAGGCAAGGATCCCTCAGAAGAAATGGAGTAGCCTTCATAGTCAATAAAAGAGTAGGAAAAGCAGTTACGGGATACAATCTCCAAAATGACAGAATGACCTCAGTTTGAATCCAAGGCAAACCATTCAACATCACAGTAGTGCAAGTCTATGCCCCAACCACTGGTGCTGAAGAGGCTGAAGTTGACTGGTTCTATGAAGGCCTACAACACCTTCTAGAATTAACACCAAAAAATGATGTCCTTATCATCATGGGGGATTGGAATGCTAAAGTAAGAAGCCAAAAGATAAACAGATTAACAGGCAAGTTTGGCCTTGGAGTACAAAATGAAGCAGGGCACAGGCTGGTAGAATTTTGTCAAGAGAATATGATGCCAATAGCAAACACTCCTTTCCAACAACCCAAGAGACAACTCTACACATGGACATCACCAGACGTTCAACACAGAAATCAGATTGACTATGTGCTCTGCAGCTAAAGATGGAGAAGCTCCATACAGTCAGTAAAAACTAGACCAGGAGCTGACTGTGGCTCAGATCATGAGCTTCTTGTCGCAAAATTTAGGCTTAAATTGAAGAAAGCAGGGAAAAGCACTAGGCCACTCAGGTATGACCTAAATCATATCCCTGATGAATATACAGTAGAGGTGACAAACAGATTTAAGGATTTAGATCTGATAGACCTGAAGTGCCTGAAGAACCACGGATGGAGTGCCTGAAGAACCACGGACGGAAGTTCGTAACATTGTACAAGAGGCAGCAACTAAAACCATCCCAAAGAAAAAGAAATGCAAGAAAGCAAAATGGCTGTCTGAGGAAGCTTTACAAGTAGCTGAGGAAAGAAGGGAAGCGAAAGGCAAGGGAGAAAGAGAAAGATACCCCCAACTGAATGCAGAATTCCAGAGAATAGCTAGAAGAGATAAGAATGCCTTCTTAAACGAACAGTGCAAAGAAATAGAAGAAAACAATAGAATAGGGAGGACCAGAGATCTCTTCAAGAAAATTGGAGATATGAAGGGAACATTTCATGCAAAGATGGGCACAATAAAGGACCAAAATGGCAGGGACCTAACAGGCAAAAGAGATTAAGAAGAGGTGGCATGATTACACAGAAGAACTATACAAGAAAAAGCTTATCATCCCTGAAATCCACGATGGGGTGCTCACTGAACTCGAGCCAGACATCCTGGAATGTGAAGTCAAATGGGCCTTAGGAAGTCTGAGCAACAACAAAGTTAGTGCAGGTGACAGTATTCCAGCTGAGCTATTCAAAATCTTAAAAGACGATGCTGTAAAAGTGCTACACTCAGTATGCCAGCAAATTTGGAAAACTCAGCAGTGGCCACAGGATTGGAAAAGGTCAGTTTACATTCCGATCCCAAAGAAGGGCAATGCCAAAGAATGTTCAAACTACTGCACCATTGCACTCATTTCACATGCTAGCAAAGTGATGCTCAAAATCCTACAAGCTAGGCTTCAGCAGTATGTGGACCGAGAACTACCAGAAGTACAGGCAGGATTTCAAAGAGGCAGAGGAACTAGAGATCAAATTGCCAACATAGGCTGGATCATGGAGAAAGCTAGGGAGTTCCAGAAAAACATCTACTTCTGCTTCATTGACTATGCTAAAGCCTTTGATTGTGTGGATCACAACAAATTGTGGCAAGTTCTTAAAGAGATGGGAGTACCAGGCCATCTTATTTGTCTCTTGAGAAACCTATATGCGGGTCAAGAAGCAACAGTGAGAACTGGACATGGAACCACTGATTTGTTCAAAATTGAGAAAGGAGTTCTGGAAGGCTGTATACTGTCGCCCTGCCTATTTAACTTATATGCAGAGCACATCATGAGAAAGGCGGGGCTAGATGAATCACCAGCTGGAATTAAGATTGCTGGTAGAAATATCAGCAACCTCAGATATGCAGATGATACCACTCTCATGGCAGAAAGTGAAGAGGAACTAAAGGGCCCCTTGATGCAGGTGAAGGAGGAGAATGCAAAAATTGGCTTGAATCTCAACATTAAGAAAACTAAGATCATGGCATCCGGTCCTCTCACTTCCTGGCAAACAGATGGGGAAGAAATGGAGGTAGTGACAGATTTTATTTTCCTGGGCTCCAAGATCACCGCAGATAGGGACTACAGTCAAGAAATTAAAAGATGCTTGTTCCTGGGGAGGAAAGCTATGGCAAATCTGGACAGCATACTAAAAAGCAGAGACATCATCCTGCCATCAAAAGTGCGTATAGTCAAGGCTATGGTTTTCCCAGTTGCAATGTATGGCTGTGAAAGTTGGACCATAAGGAAGGCTGAGCGCCGAAGAATTGAGGCCTTTGAATTGTGGTGCTGGAGGAGACTCCTGTGAGCCCCATGGACCGCAAGGCGATCAAACCGGTCAGTCCTAGAGAAGATCAACCCTGACTGCTCTTTAGAAGACCAGATCCTGAAGATGAAACTCCAATACTTTGGCCACCTAATGAGAAGGAAGGACTCCCTGGAGAAGAGTCTAATGCTGGGAACAATAGATGGCAAAAGAAGAAGGGGACGGCAGAGGATGAGGTGGCTAAATGGAGTCACTGAAGCAGTTGGTATGAGCTTGAGTGGACTCCAGGGATGGTGGAGGACAGGAAGGCCTGGAGGAATGTTGTCCATGGGGTTGCGATGGTTCGGACACGACTTCGCGACTAACAACAACAATAACATATAGCATATGGCATATATTGCCGGGGAGTCTTCAACATATTACACACAGTAGATGTTTTGTCACCTGCAATTGCTAGTCTGATAGTGTGCCGGTGCATCACGGGGACGAACTAATTTAGCACCCGTTGGCTGGTGACGTTCTTGTTAAGTCAGATCATCCGGGACTTTTTCCCACCAATCCTCCGCTGAGCATGGCCAGGCAGATCCAGTGGCAGTGCTTGCTTTCATTGTGAACAAAGCCAGCAGGTTTCCCACTGTGGAATGGTTGTCTCTATTTACGTATCTACTTGCATATGATAGGCTTTTCAACTGCTAGGTGGGCAGGAGCTGGGGTGGACCATGGGAGCTCACTTCATCCTGTGAGGCTGGCCTCGAACCGCTGGAGTGCTGACCATTTCAGTTCCAGCATCATTAAGCTGCTGCGCCACCACATCACCCAGAGCAATTATAGCTGCATAGCAATGGGAATGTATATTGCTGCTGCTGTTATCCTGGCAGTGCCATGGTGGATCACAAAATAAAGCAGGTTTATTTCTGACTGTACTTGAAATGAAAATGCAGATGATTAAAGACAAAAGCACTGTTTGGTGTGATTATTGCAAAATGGATGGGATGTGAAGTCTTAGGAAAGCGGTAGTAATTCTGTACACAGTTTGTCATTATCCTATGATGGTTGCAAGTACAGCTCATAAAAACATCCTTGGGAAAACTATTGCTTTTCTTGTTAGCACCACATGTTGAAAAAGAAGCCATGAACCAGGGCCAAATAATCCTGCATATGTTCTGTTAATATATGAATGGCTCAGGCACATGTTGAGCACTTTATATTGGGAAGGGGGTCAAACTGATGTTTGTCTTAGATAATTGCATATGATTTTAATTTGTTTTAAAATTTACAATGGGCTAAAATTGTGTTTTTTATATTTTCTTCTTCAAAAAAAATGCCAGAATTTGCGAGAGTCTTGCTGGGAAAAGGCTGAGTACTTCTTTGATCTGCCGGATTTCTTGTCGTGGAAAGCAACAGGTGCCACTGTGAGGTATGTAAATATTACTGCATGTTTTGTTTTTCACCATATCTTTTCTTGTGCTAGTTTTTGCCTTAATTCATTCTGACTGCATGTAATGTATGTACATCTGTATATGATTTAGGCTACTTGGGAACATCTTGAACCTATCTTGTGTTGCCATGGTGCATTCCTGAACAAAATGATTCTTGTAAGCACTTTAATTCTTAGTTCGTTGCCATAACTGTTGGCTCCTTAGTCTTATACTCCATTTGTAGAATCTGAGCCAAGTCAATGCCAGTTTTGCTCTTGGAAAAGGACTTGAGGTATATAGAGAGAAAAAAGCAAACTTCTCTTTCTAATTTAGCTAAAATTGTGAAGATCCTAGAGAGAGTCTTTGGGATTCAAAGCATTACTTTTGGCATGCTCAAGGCCTTAGGAATGGGAGTTGTAGTTTTTTTTTTCCTTTCAAGTAGTGGACAAACTGCTTGTGAAACTTTTCCATTACAAAAGAGGTTTCCCATGAGGTGTGAGGGGTTATGATTTAAACACAAACCAGGACTTCCTTGTAAGAAATAGTTCTTTGTATCCAGGGTATTATCTTGTGAAAAATGTCCTAGTAAGGCCTGGTGGCAGCACCAGGCATATAAGAGTAAATGCCAGAGCCTGCATAAAGTTATTCTAGGAACTGGCATTCTGAAGAGAAATGTTGAACGACATGGCTTCAACCATTGCCTTCTTTATTTTACCAGAATGTGTCTTTAACCCACTGCAGGGCTCAGAGCCATCCTAGGGAAATGGAGATGGTAGCAGCTCCTTAGAGCATCACTTCTTAGGTACTCGAGGAAGGGACATGTGAAAAACCCGCTGTGAAAGAACGTCACGACACACTGGGTAACTCTGAAAAAGAGACAAAAAGCCAATCAAAGAAGGAAAAGGATTGCAAAGTTTGCAACAATAGGAGAAGAGTGCTGGTTGTGGGTGATTCCCTCTTGTGCAGAATGGAAAAATATGTATGTCGTGATGACCCAGAGAATCGCCAAGTTTGCTGTCTCCCTGGCGCCAAGGTTAAAGATATAACCAGGAAGTTAACACAACTCGTACAACCCACTGACAAATACCCCTTTCTTCTCTTCCACGTGGAAACTAAAGACACTGCCATGAGAAGTTTTGCTGATATAACTTCAGGCTTTGAAGCTCTAGGGAGGAAAATAAAAAACACTGGGGCCCAGATAGTCTTCTCCTTAATCCTACCACTATGTGTTAAGGAAAGAAAAATCCTTCAAGTGACTGACTGGCTACCATGGTGAGGCCATAAAGAGAGATTTGGATTCTGGGACCACAAGCTAAGCTTCCTGGAAGATGGACTACAGGCAAATGATGGGCTGCACCTCACAAAGAACAGGAAGCAGATGCTTGGCCACTACATCGAAAACTTCAGGGGAGCTTTAAACTAAAACCTATAGGGGAGGGAGATGTGCAGCATGGCATACCAACACCTGACAAGACTTACATATTTCAAAAGAGAAAAAACAGAAAGGACAAAAAGGGAGGTGGAGGTGTACTATTTGTGAGAGACACATATATCTGCATGGAAATACAAGAAGAAGAACTTAGTAGCCCCATTGAAAGCATCTGGTTAAATTTAGAGGGAGCAAAAAATAAGAAAAACATAGTTATTGGCATATATTACCGTCCACCCAGTCAAAAAGAGAACAAGGATGCAACCTTCAAACAGCAACTTGCCGGCATTTCCAAGAAGAATGATGTAGTCATCATAGGGGATTTTCAATTTCCCTGATATATTCTGGGAGACGAATTCTGCCAAGCATGGCCCCTCCAAGAGATTCCTGACATGTCTTGCCAACAACTTTCTCCAGCAGAAAGTAGAGGAAGGTACGAGAGGATCAGCTACCCTCGATTTAATACTAACCAACTGGGATTGCCTGGTGGGCAAAATAACAACCTTGGGAAATCTGGGGGAAAGTGACCATGCAAACTTGAATTCTCAATTACAAAGGAGACAAAGGGTAACAGGAGCCAAACAAGCATCCTGAACTTCAAGAAAGGCACCTTTGAACACAGAAAAATGATAGCAAAGTGCCATGGCCACACACCCATAAGGGAAAAGGAGTCTAAGAAGGGTGAAAATCTTGAATAAGAAGATTCTTCAAGCACAACTACAAACAATTCCATTAAGAAAGAAGACAGCAGAGGTAGCTTACATGGCTCCACAAAAGGTTAAGTGACAGCCTGAAAGAAAAAAAGAACTTGTACAGGAAGTGGAAGCAGGGCCAGGCCACAAAGGAAGAGTATAAAAAAATAGCAAGGAATTGCAGGGATAGCATCAGAAAGGCTAAAGCAGGAAATGAACTGAGAACAGCAAGGAATGCTAAGTTCATCAAGAAAGCCTTCTTCGGATTCATCTAGAACAAAAGAGAAGGGTGTCCAGCTACTTAAAGTGGATGGCAGAGCGATAACAGAGGACAAGGAAAAGGCAGAGGTGCTCAGTTCCTACTTCAACTCAGTCTTCTCCCACAAGAAAATATACAACCAAGAGGAAGCACAAGCTGAAAGTGACAGATGGTAGCCCAAGATTGACAGACAAATGGTCAAGGAATACCTAGGTGGAATAAACACTTTTGAATCTCCAGGGCCCAATGAACATCCCAGAGTCTTAAAAGAGCTAGTGGAGGAACTCTCAGGATTACTGGGTATTATCTTCAATAAATCTTGGAAAACAGAAGTGCCAGACAACTGGAAAAGGGCTAATGTTGTCCTTATCTTCAAAAAGGGGAAAAGATGAACCTGGGAACTATAGACCAGTTAGCCTGACATCAATCCCTGGAAAAAATCTGGAGCAAATTATTAACCCTAACCCATACTCCTCGCTAGTCAGATCCTATCTGGACTACTGTGTCCTGTTCTGGGCACCAAGATTTAAGAAAGATGCAGGTAAATTAGAAAGGCTCCAGCGGAGAGCAACAAAAATGGCCCAGGGTTTGGAGACACTGCCCTCTGAGGAGAGACTGAGAGAACTGGGCATATTCAGCCTTGAGAAGAGAAGACTGAGGGGGGACATGATATCCCTCTACAAGTACCTCAAAGGCTGTCACAAAGAGAAAGGTCAAGATCTCTTGTCACTGATACCAGAGTATAGGACACAGAATAATCAGTTCAAGTTGCAACAACCCAGTTTCAGGCTAGATATCAGGAAATGTTTCCTCACTGTCAGAGTAGTACAACAGTGAAGCCAGTTGCCTAGAGAGGTGGTGGACTCTTCCACACTGGAGACATTGGAAAAACAAACTGGACAGCCGTCTGAGTGGGATGGTGTAACGTGGTGTCCTGCAATAGCAGGGGGTTGGCCTTCATGGCCCCTTCCAACTCTACTATGATTCTATGACCCCAGTGCTTTCACTGATTGAGATCCAAACAATCTTAGTAGATGCACTGTTGCCCAATCAAAGTGCTGTTTATGGATTTATTTTGTTTTGCAATCACTTCTTAAGCAATTTCTTAGGAAGTCCCCAAAACAACTTAAATGTTAATTATCAAATTCTCCAGGCAGTGGGTGTTTACTGCTACTTCATTCATTCACTTAAAACAGTGTAGACTAGTTTCTTTAAAAACAGTATGCAGAATCGAGCTTGCACAGTTTGCCTCATCTCTTGGTTTCTGTAAGAGCAAAAGACTTGCTTTTTAAAAAGAAATTAAAGTTGAGAATCTGGTGATTATGGGGCAACTGCTTCCCCACCCCCAGCTCTGGGTTTCTCTGCAGATGCCCATGCTTAGGGCTAGTAACTGTATTTCTTGCATTACCAGTTGCAAACTTTTTTGTACTCTTCTGACTGGAATTTCTTTCACAAGTAGAACTGGTACTTTTGACTAGTATTTATGTCATAAGATTTTAAACTATATTTTTCTGAGTTGATTTGTGGAAGTTGATTTCCATTTCCAGCAAGTAGCAATTTCCTCCTTTCTTTTCTATATTGAATATTCCACAAATATGGGAAATAAAACCAAGTATGACTAATACTTCAGTACTGACTTTACTGTAAGGGAAGGTCATACAGAAACACTGGCTATTATTACCTTGCCATTATTAAAACTAAGTCATAAATTAAATATTATTAAATCTGGGAGGTAATCTAAAGGGTAATTTGAGATGAGCATTTTGAAAAATCTGACTTTAATCTTGGTGGAGTGAAAGATCTAATAGTAGCGATAGGTTTTAGATTTCACATCCATCCTGAGACTGTTTTTTCCATGGTCAGAACTGGCAGTGTCTCTGTGCAAAAGAAAGTCCAGCTTTGAAATGTTCCCCCGCTCCCTTTGAACAACTTCTGCCTCCCTGTCTGGAACATCCAGACCTGGACGCTTGCTGTATGTATGGTAATTCAACCCTGTCCTGTCTCCAGCAGGGTGCTTGCTAACAGCTTTGAGAGGAGAAGCCACAAGGCAGTGAAACTGGATTTCATAAACCACTGCTCATCTGTACTTGAGGGATGCTGTTTATGTAGCACTTGCGTGTGTGAATATCATGGGAAGTGCAGGGAGGAAGATGAAAGGGGAAGTTGTAATCAGAGAGTGGTACAGGGAGTGAATCGGGGAATCTGACGTGTGGAAATGCCACGTTTATATATTGTGTGGTGGAGAAGGTGGAGCTGAGCAGCTGCATCTGCTGTGCCTCTTCCCCCAGCTATGCAAGGGACAGCATCCGTTTGGTGATGCCACTGACTGACTAATCTTTTAAATCTGCTGGGAAACGAGCAATCGGATTGAATTGCAAGAACTTACACACTGTTTATACAGCTCTCCCACTTGTACTACCCCAGGGGATTTTAAGTGTTGTTTTTGCTGTGGTGGAGACAGTGGATTAAAAACTAATATAACAAGGTGTCTTTGCAGGTGAAAGCCTCTTGAGTAATGTCCTTAAAACTGCCCTTGAGCATTTTGCAAAAATAGTGGAGGCCATATTTCATATGTGGCTTATTGCCCTAAACATAGCAATTAGCAGTTCGTTGTATGCT